AAGGTAATAGCTTTTGGTCATTAAGATAATAGCCACTGTTCTATAAGATAATGGCCACTGGTCATTAAGATAATAGCCACTGTTCTATAAGATAATGGCCACTGATCATTAAGATAATAGCCACTGTTCTATAAGATAATAGCTACTGGTCATTAAAATAATAGCCACTGTTCTATAAGATAATAGCTACTGGTCATTAAAATAATAGCCACTGTTCTATAAGACAATAGCCACTGTTTTATTTGCTATTGTCTTATAAAAAGTGATTGAATAAACTTTTCTTTTCAACTTCAAATTCCTGAAATTGTAATACATTGAGTTTTCATATGGAATTTCATACATTTTAATTTATTAACTATTGATGCAGGTGTAATGTCTGAATTTTGATATTTCGAAGAATACCAACAACAACAACAAATCAGCTTATCAAGAAGTCCAATAAGCTTTTTGTTAAATCGTGATAAAATACACTCTATATTCAGTAAAACAATCGTGAGAAGAAAATATAAAAAAGGAAAACCTCATTATTTTATTCAATATTTATTATTTTATTTTACTAATACAGGAACTATTTAGAGAAATTTAAGCAGTTATTTACACTATATGTTATATAAGCAAGTAATTAGGTGGTTCAAAACATACGTCTGTATACCAATTAATTAACATTCTTTAAATGTTATATATACATATATTTTCATATATATTGAAAACGCCTTCAGGTTTTTATTGCCTCATGTTTTTCGTGGGATGATGACCTGAGAGGAAGCTATCATTTATGAGCTATTGCATCTCCTATTGGTAAAATTCGGCTTTACAGGTTGCTTATAGTTTTGAACGATTCTTCAAAAAAAAGATCGGTGATTTTCCCGCATGTTTTTTTTAATATGTTAATGAAATCATGATATTTCGTTTTCGAATTGAATTCTACAGTTCGTATTGATCCATTTTTGAGATCTTATTAGTCAAGCATTTTCAACAAAAAAATTAAGTTTTCTAAGTTTAACAATTGAACCTACACAGAAATAATTTAATTGCTTATTGAATCGATATATTTCTGATTTCCACCACTTTAGTTCAAGAGTCAAATGCCTTACTTAAATGTACTTAGAGAACAGTTAATATAAGCCAAATGCCTTACTTAAATGTACTTGGAGAACATTTATTAGGAGCCAAATGCCTTATTTAAATGTACTTGGAGAACAGTTAATAGGAGCCAAATGCCTTACTTAAATGTATTTGGAGAACAGTTAATAGGAGCCAAATGCCTTACTTAAATGT